CATCTAGAAAATTTCACTCTTTTTTTTAAACCATAAAGTTATCGAAAATCTGTATAATGACAAATTGTACTAACAGATATGCAAATATACCTTTCAATATGCATCAACTTACACATCAACTGTTCAGGGTTTTTACAAAGAAAGATTTGAATTATTCATTCTATGAAGCACCGGCTGGCTCCGCCGAACATGAAGGGAATATGAGGAAAGAGGAGGGCAGGAGGGGCGGGGGTGGTGGGACAGAGAAAACAACAACTAATCAGTTCATATTTGTCATGTCAAGATAACTGCGCACACACAGGGACCTTGGAAGAGTGAATTAAAACCTCTCCAGTTGACCGTACAAGTTCATAGATTACTGCCACTCTCCCACTTCAGTGCTGCTGCTGCTGCTGGGCTGCTGTCAGTCTCTGGGTCGCCCTCCCCCCTCTGTGTGTTGTGTGTTGGTGTGAGAGTCTGTCATTCCAGTGAGTTTTAAAATTAAGGCAGGCGATTGGTTCTTCTGCGGAGACATCCCGCCTACCCTAATGGGGTGGAGACCCAGGATTGGGGAGGTGAGGGGGCACATCAGTCATCCAGGATGACCTTGACAAAACTGGCCACGTCTGTCTCTTTGGCGTCATGCACGGTGAAAAATGGATGTTGCTGCATCAAAAACAGAAAGAAAAAAATAGACTCGTGAGTATGTTTTTAATTTACATTCACTATAACTTATAGGACTTGTGAGTACCACGATCAAGAATTTATAATGAAGCTAATGATACAACTAGTGGGTGTGTTGGGTTAGAGTGGCCTCTTGTGGATAAAAACAGAAGTTGTTGAAAAAGAATTTTACAGGAGCAAGGCTTTAGGATTTTATGTATATATTTATATATATTTATATTTATGTATAAACAACTTATATATATTTATATTTATTTATATTTATGTATAAACAACTCACCATTAGTTCAGTATAAGCTGGTCTCTCACTTGGCTTCTTCCTTAAGCTGTAAACACAGGAGATTTAGAGGAAAAATATGATGTGATAAATCTTGAACAAAAAGATAGTTTCAGTGCAGACAGTTATGTGACATACTATACAACAACCACATCTACATATCAAGTAGGCATCAATATGTTTTAATATGCATATAACATTTCTGTGCTTACTATAAACAATTGAAATATGAATATGCTTATGTTCTCATTCACATAGTAATATTTCAGGTGCTTATAAATCATTTCACTCATTCCATTTTCATTAAAATAATCTAACTTTTAGTGCCCAACTATAACGTAAGTGTAGTTCAATTTTATGGTGTTTAACTATTGTATCAAACATTACTTATTACAAGAGTAATAAGTACTAAGTACTTGCAAACATCTTATTTAATCAGCTCCATCGATGAAATAAAGTGAACACTGACCCCTGCTGGGCGAAAGTGAAGCTTAAAAGATAGTTGAAAAAGACTGGGACTCACCACTGGGAGATGAAATCTACGAAGTCCGGGGAGAAGCGGTCAGCGGGCAGCTGTGGAGACGGTTCATCCACCACCTGCTTGAGCTGCTGAAACGGGGTTCCCCAAGAGTCGTAGGGGAATTTCAAAATGGCCAGTTCAATCTAGCAGACAGGAAGAGAGAGAGAGAGAGAGAGAGAGAAAAGTTTGATCTCATTTAAACAGAGTCATATACAACTGTGGACATTTTGGCATTTCCATGCTGGACATGATTCCCATGACCATGCTTTTTCTCCAAAAACACAAACACACATTGGCATCATGTGATGTCAGGTCAATTATTTCACTTTGTTTTTGTGATTGGCAAAAATGGATTGGAAAAATGTGCAGTAAGATGGCTTTAACAAACTCAAATGAACTAAAACAAAACATTTTGTCTGACGTTGACGATGCATTCAAATGGATTTTTGAGAAATCAGATTGTATTCAGTTTGAGGTTAAATTATATATTATTATTATTGGCCGGATTATTGTTTTGCTATTTCCTGTAGTCATTTTTAATAAACATGATTACACGTTATCATTTAAACATTAAAACATAACAATGCCTCTTCCGGCTGTGCTATAAATAAACCAAAGATCACGTATTGTTACGGTCATTTGCCGCAAACACATCAACATTACCAAAGGTCACCATGACTCAGCTTTAGTGCTGTGTTGTTTAGAAATCGGAGACACCTGTAGGGTTTGTGTGTGTGTGTGTGTGTGTGTGTGTGTGTGTGTGTGTGTGTGTGCGAGGTAAGTGAAAGCCGCCTTGCTGGATTCAACTCCACAAGGGTTTGTATGTTTGGTTTTTTTTTGCTTGTTTTAAAAAATATATATATCCTGCATTGCCACAGTAGTTAAATCATTACTAATAAATTCATAATTGGTTGCAGATATAGCATGGTTATTGGGTGTGTGGATATTTAGAGCAGGATAAAGCCCAAAGACTCTGCTGTAAACACATGTGGTGTCACACCGCCATCTGCATGTGGGTCTCATCTGTATGACAGACCGTTCACACTGAAGTCTAATGGCATTGGATTTAAATTACAAAAGTAAACAACCTTTCTGAAATTCAAATCTTAGCAAAAAATAAAAGCAATCAGAATTCATCATTAAGACTGCAGTGTGAATGTAGCCATAAACTGTAACTCTACTTGAAATGAACCGTCATGACTGGCAGCAGAACTCACCATTGTGATACCAAGACTCCAGATGTCTGATTTGACACTGTAACCTTTCTGGTTGAGGTCAGGGTTGATTCGCTCAGGCTGAAACAGACATCATGAGCAGAGACATGAATATCAAATCATTCCCATGTATGTTTTCCTATTTTTTTAAAGATTCTTCCAGGAATACGAAGGTTAGCATAATGAGCTGTGTATCTGTTTAGACCTGTAAATGACGATATGAGACACAGATTGAACCAACATTTCCAGACAAAATTTTTAGGTTAGCCAATGGAAAATCTACTTCCAGTGTGGAATCCAAAGGTCAAAGTGTTTAAAGAGCAGACAAGTGTTTTAAAGACACGAGACAGATCCTTCAGCCAGGCGTCTTTAAGTGTCTCAGTTCCTCAATAAATAACTATAATAATAAATCTATCCCAAACCCTTCGCAGGCCGGTACCAGAAATGTTTCCCCTTCTTACCGCCATGTAGGGCTTGCAGCCAGCATCCAATGTTTTGGCCACAGAGTCCACCAGGTGACCGCTGATGCCAAAGTCGCACATTTTCACTTGGCCCAGAGTGTTGATCAGGACATTGGAGGGCTTCACATCTGGAGTAGAGTCAACGAAAGAAAAAAAAACATTCAGACGTCTGTGGGAGGGAACATAAACAGTGTGTGTGTGTGTGTGTGCAGGTATGACATGAGCAGGTTACCTCGGTGGATCACTGACAGGTTACTGTGCAAATGCTCTAATGCCTTGACAATCTGTGGAGTGAATAGAAAAAAAAGAAAGATAAAACTGACTTCCTAAAGTGACATAATTCACCTACAGTCACATTAACTACAATTTAATAACAAAGATGAAGTAAATGCAATTTACAAAAAGAAAAATCTAGGGAATACGTCTTGGAGCCACAAGACAAAATGCATATAATTTTGTGGGTTTAGGTAAGGCATGGTGATGACACTTTCTTGGTAAATTACAGTAAATCCATACACCCAGCACATCATCCACACATTACTGGTTGTCTGGCAACCTCAGCATGATAACAAGCCTCAGGAAACCTCCTCGCTCCTGGCTGTTGTTGGGAATTTTAATTACTAGGGAAAATGGTTTTTTTTATTCCTTATTTAAAAGTAATGTAAACGAGTGTACAATGAGACATGGCTAACATGCAGGTGGAGACGTACAGCTACTGTGATTTTTCCCAGGATGTCCTCGGGGATGGTCTGTCCTTTTTCAATAACTTTCTTGTAGAACTTATCCAAAGAAGTGTCCATCAGCTCCATGCAGATCCAAACATCACCCTGACAAAAACACATGTTGCAAAGGTGAGATACGGTGATCGCACAGAGACAAACAGGGTTTACAATGTGGGAATTCTGCTATACCTCTCTGAAGAGGGCGCCGTAGAAGGTCACAGTGTAGAAGCAGTCTACAGTCCGCATAGAAATGTCCAGGTCCATCAGAAGTCTCTTCTGCTCCAGGGTGTTGACAGTGGCACGAATCCTCTGGGGGGTGCAAACATAAAAACGGGTAACATTAAAATGTGCCAAAGGCTGAACACCAATACAATCCCATTTCCTTTATGATGGGCTTATTATTAGGGTCTTTGTGGTACCATTTTTAACAAACAGACAGACATACTAGAGCTGCTGTTATTTATATTTGTGTACTAATGATACTTCCATGATACTCCTTTGGATTGGCTCAAAGGGCAATTTCAATTTAAAATGGAACTGGAGTAGTGCTGTAGCGGACAAAAACAATCTGCTTTACGTCAATAAAACAAAAGATGAAAAATAATAAGTATAAAAATTATATTAAACTTTCTGCATAGTGAACTCGCCAGCTGAACAGAAAGTGAGCGGAGCTTTTCCGCCAATAGTGTATGTCAATTGATAAACTCTCTCCTACAAAACCACCCCACCAGTCACTCAAACTGTGCAGCAATATTTCCAGTTAATAAATCAACACTACTAACCACAAGAACATATATATGGCATACAGTTTAGATTTTTAAAAGCCTGGCCTGTGCAGACAGATGCAGCATCAGGTAACCTGAGCGGAAGCCTCCTACCTCACCTTGACAGCCATGATAACACGACTGGGCACGTGTCTCATCTTGTCCACCACGCCGTACGCTCCCCTCCCAAGTTCTTCAATCTGCTCCAAGTCATCTGCCTTCACCACAAAATTCTGCAAAGGAGGAGGCAGACGATGTGGTTATGTATGCTGTAGCAGCAGGAACAGTGCATTGCAGAGGAACACTGACGCAGCCCTACCTGCTCTCCGATAGTAACACAGGCTTTGGAGTCAAGATCTCGAGGGGGGCTGCAGGAAGATGAAGATATATAGATATAGATGTCAGAATCCCCAAGTCTTAAAATGTTTACAATCAGGTAAAAGTTTTAAAAAATGCAAATCAAGGAAATAATCCCCAGAAAAAAGCAGACAAAAAACCTCAAAGCAAGAAGGTGCTAAAGGTTTGTCTTTTCTTTAGTGTCAATATATCAAAGAAAAGTCATACATAAAATGGTAAATGGTAAATCTGTTAAATGTACTTTAAAAAAATCCCCCCAAAAACCCAAGACAAAAAAAAATTGCTTTTTTTCTCTCTACTAAAATCTGTTTTAATTTTACTACTAAAATTTTAGTAAAAATAAAAATCTTACGCTGCTGCTTCTGGTGGTGGAGCTGCAAACGCTCCTTTGTCCAGTTTCAGCCCATGGTTCTTCTTCTTCCCTGCGGGACACAAATTCAGATCAATGCTGATGGGATGTCACAACTTCAATGAGTCAATTTGCAACATATTTGTAAAAACATGTTTAACATTTAAAACAAGAGCCAAATTCTGAAGAAGGCAACGTGACGTCATTCAAATATTACACAACCACAGTGGTCTCTTCATAGAGCTTGTTCCATTCTGGAGTGGAAAAAAATGAATGTTTTCCAGGTAACAATACATTTGCAGTTTCCATTGATGTAAACCACAGCAAATGATCTCTTATCTGACTCTGAGATTAGGTGTGCTGAAAGCAAAGGCCCAGCAACAGTGGAAGGTGGACTTAGTGACTAATCAACACTGGTATGATGACTCAAAGGCTGGAAAGAGAGGGGGGTCGAGGAGGGGTTCTTCCTGTCAGGATAAAATACGCTGACAGGAACAACAGCTACACTCACAGTTAAAATCAACTATCGATGTTTTTATTCTCACAGTTATTTATCTGTTCAAAATCTATTTGTCTTCCATATCTGCTGGATATTGTGCAGTTGTAGCCGTTCCTGTGTTAGATCAGTGACAGCGGTCCATTCATAAACATGGTTTACCAGCAGCCTTTGGGACTTCCCACACAGGGCTTCCAGACTCTGCCAGAATGACACAGCTACCGGGCTCACAAGCAACAACACAGGAAAAACAACTCAACTCTTCTTGACGTGCGACACTTGTGCTCACTGTGTTTTTGCAAGGTCACAAACACATTTTTTCCCTCCATTTTCCAGGATCTGAACTGGGTATTTTCCCTCATCAGGATATGATGACGAAAGTATAAACCCAACAGGTTGTTTCCTGTTCCTGCAGCAGACTGGGTCAGACGATTGTACCGATTCCACCCTGGGTCAGAGAAACCGATTCAATGCAGAAGGCATGAGGAAGATATTTTTGTTTATTTTTGTCTATTTTTGTGGGGTTGCATTCACCAATGAATGAGTCAGATCACTACAGTCTGAAGGAAGTGTGACTGGGTAACCCCCTTCTTTGCTCGATTAAGCTGGAAGGGAAGTGAGGTTTTACTGAGATTTTAGATTCTTCAGACAACCACTAAAATGTCAGACAGGTCCATTTTGTGCCCAAAAACAAGCCTCTAGTGTCTGGACAAACCATGACAGAGTCATGTAATCGGGGGAGATTGAAGTGTGATTTACTCACACATGCTGAGTCAAAAATAGATTTTGCATTTCCTCTGCGTAGGATAAATCAGCAGCACTAAAAAGCCCTTCCAGGACCATGCAGAAAAGATAGCATTTGTTTATGCAACAGAACAGGAGGACATAAAACACTGTGGTGCAGTTCAAAGGCATATCGCATGCCAAACATTTAACATCATGCATTTTATCCAAGCTGAAAGACGTGTTTAACAATCCTTGTGCTGCTGCAGAAAACTGCAGGCTGCGTGGTATATTTAACTGTGAGGTATTACCAGATGTATTCTCTGTGAAGCATTAATGGAATTGAAATACTATAATGCCCTTCTCAGGAAGCCGTGCAGTGTCCTGTGACCCCATAGCCAGCGATGTGGGCTGGGATGTGACTCACAGACAGTCAGACTGGACACATCCGTTGAAAACACAACAACTGTCAGGACCCTTTGGGAAATATGATGTCACTTCACTAGGCCTGCATGGCGCTCACTGCCCCTCTTCGGGACAGCTTTGAAACTGCTTTGTGCTGCGAGATCTGCCTGCCACTCAGCTGAAGCGTTATAGTAATCGTTCAGACAAACTGTTCTAAATTTTTCTAAATAGAGACTGCTTTATTTAACAGTCAGTAAAATGTGGGAAGAGTTGCATATCATAAAAGATATCAACCCAGACAATTTACTTATTTGTATGAGGACATTTTTAAGCCATGTTTGCTGCAAATCGCTGCAATCGATTTACAGTAAAAATTCCACTTCCTACTAAACCAAACGACTCTTTGCTGTAATATGTTCGGAATGGGGAACAAGAATTTCTGGATTGTGCACGGGATCAAAGTGTCAATAGCTGGGGCAAGTCACCATCAGGAAGCTCTAGTCTCTGAGTGGGCCCATACACAGACGCTGATGACTCATGCACAGATTATCTTCCACACTGCCCAATTGGTGTGGTTAGGGAGAACCCATTCTCTAAACATGCCTCAGCAATACAATGAACAGCATTGCAATGTGCTCGGGCCCACTCCACCCTTGAGCAGAGAATGTACTTTCGTACAAAAGAAATAAATAATAAAACAATAAAATCAAATAAAAAACACTTCCAAACAAACCCCTCTGGCCTGCTTTAGTGCTCACCATAACACTATCAGCACAGAACCTGTGCAGCAGCCATGGAGTATCTGCGTGCAGCCAGTGAATTGTCAACAAAGAGACGTTCCACTAGGTATTGGTGCAGCAAGTCAAAACATGCCATGGTAGGCCAAGGGCTGTGAGTGCCTGAGCAGCGCCCAGCCAATCTACACAGGCCCTCTCAAAGCAGTGTGTACTCCCCACCATGGTAACGCTAGTATGATTGTGTAACAGCATCAGCGGTGAACGTGAAAGGTAAATTGACATCATCATTCTGCACTGTGTGTGTGTGTGTGTGTGTGTGCACGCATTCTGTTTCTGGTACAAAATAGCCACTATTAAAAAAAACAAACTGCAGCACTAATGGGTAATTAGACCAACTCCAGATGAAGGAGAACACAATTTCTGATCTTTTTGTTTAACTAGAACTTTGATTTGGCTAATGTTAGACTTTGGTTAAGCAGTACAAATGAATGGGAGTTAATACAGTGGCCTAACAAGAATAGCCTGTGTGTGACGCAGAGGGAAGGCCTTGATTTTTTTTTTCCAAGGTGCATGTTGTGTTTGAGTTCTGGTTTTTTGCACTGATTCTCGTATGAGCAGACTTTATTAAGCCACGTTGCCCTTATGGAGCTTTATAATTAGTCCAACATCATCTTTCAGTAATGGGTACAGTCTGGACCACATTAGGTCAGATTAGAGTTAGGCATGAGGTGGTTTTGTCCTGGGACAAGTGTGTCCAAAGTCTGTCTCTGGGGCCAATCATGGTGGACTGTATATTATTATTTTGCACCATGACAGAAAATACTAAGTATGAAATTCCATTTCTAAGGTGTGTTGCAGCTATTGTCTTTACAAGTGCAATAAGACTTGTCATCTACTGTACTGTCTTTCAAGCAATCAACAATTAAATTGCTCTTTTGTCTAGTTGTCCCAGTGACTAAAAAACGCATGATACATTGTTTGTCACACCAATTGACATCTATTCAAGTTTTACTTTTGGAGTTATTTTCTGCATTATCGCCATCTTGTTAGAAATCAGTGGCTTTAGCTGTTTTTGATATGGAACACATAGGATGTTCTACTTATATTTCTTCTGATATGATGCATTTAGGGAAAAAAGATGGTGACTAGACAATGATGTTTTAGTCAGAGGGCAAATATGACTGAATGTCATGTGCAATGGATGGAATGATTCAATGGGATGATTTTGTTAACATCATTAACACTATTGCCAATGTATTACTTATTAATCTACTGTATTAATGACTTCATGCCAAGTGGTAATTGCCCTCAGATTCATGCAGCATTGTCATTTTTTTCCTCTGTAATTGCAAATTGTATTCACTAATCTGACATCACGTATTACATTAAGGTATTTTTTCTGTACTATTTGATTGGGAAAAGTTTGTTCAACCCTGTTAGGGCTTCTGAATTAATGTATGTTGTGTGCGTGTCACAGACCTTGATTTTTGCAACTATGTGTGTGTGTGTGTGTGTACGTTTTATTGAGTACAGTAACTCAGCACAATCTCACAATCCTTGAAATGGCTGCCATTTCGTAAACACAAGGTATACTGACGGTGGTGAAAATACACACTTTAAACATGCAAACAGGATATGTATATAGACATTGGTGGTATTAGAGCTCCGGGTTAAATCAGAAAGACCAGCAGCAATCGATGAGTCATGAGTCCGAAAAACGCAAACACCTGTGGTCCCAGTGTGCTTCACTTCACCCAATGAGACTGGTGTGAAAAAAAAACTAATCCGTGAGAGGTAATTTCCAGCACCCAGTAAAGTTGGCTGATGCTTGACATGATAACTCTTTCTATTTCATTACCGTAACTATCTTAGCTAAGCAGCACCTCAAAAGCGCAGCGGCGCCAAGTTAGCCTTCAGCTAACAGTATTAACAATAATGATGCTCTCAGTAAAGTGTGCGGTGAAAAGCTGAATTACACCACTTCACAGCCGCATAGGAGCCCCTGTATTAAGATAGAAATGAGCAGAGACCTGCTGGCTACAGCGTCTTCTCTCTCTACCTCTCTCACATGCAGCCTTCCACCTGGCAAGGTTACATTTTTGAACACCAGCAAGCTAAAGTATTTCTCCGCAAACTAATTCGCGAAACCGCACAAAATGAAGGTGTGTTGTTTTCAAATAGGTTAGCAAAAAGATAAAGAAGTATCGCTTACCTCCTTTAGACAGAGACATTTCCCCTTTGCTTTGATGAGGGGGAAGGGAAGCACAAAGACTTTTGCTTTTTTTTTACTCCCTCCCTGCATCTACCCTTACACCCGCTCAGGATCGCTGCTGGCTTGTCGTGCAAAAACGAGCAGCGATTAAAACACGACGTTTCTCCTCGGTGCAATCTTTGGGCTTCACTCTGCGGACGGAGCGTCCAATGATCGATCAACAAGCAAATGCACGAGTTTAAATCAAGTCGGCGCTGCGCGAACTCTTCGAGTTTAGTTTGCTAACAAAACCTGTACTTTTAGGGTGGCCAAAGTCTGACAGCTGAAGGTTCCAGGGACGTGGTGACGTACTTCCTGCCCTGCGCTAGGCATGACGGGGTGTGGAGTGTGCACCGCCTAAGTGTTTAATCTTTCCACTGTTTCGCCAATAAAAAGTGTTTTTAATACGAACAACTATTGAAGACATTATAATCTAATGCTAGATTCAGCCTGGGGCTTTTGACTTAAAATAACTTTCTTCTCAAAAGTTACTTAAACAAAACCACGAATGGTTGAAACTCCATATCAGTGCTTAGTGGCTGTACATTAATTTATTTAAATTATCATGACATGGCACTACAAAAGGCAGACCTTGTTCTCTCTAGTTTATTTAATATTTTAATGTAGTATATAATCATATTCTATTACAAAATACTTTAAACAAATAACCGAGACAATACAGTATGATTGTTAAATGTTGTTTTCATGAGAATGTAGGTCAAAATTTAATAATTGTTTGTTTCACATTACATTTGTTTTTTTATGTGTTTATTAAGGGTTGATAGGTGCATGCCTTCCTCTAAATCTCAGTTCAGATTTGGTGGATTTGAAATACTTGGTGAAAAAAAGGAAGATGAAAAGATGGATGAGGGAATATTATTTGAAAACTACAGAACTGTATAAAAACTTTAATGAATAGAACAAAATATGTTTTTATCATATCATCTATGTATGGTCTAACAGAATACTTCTCTATCACCAATGTATTCAATTGAAGTTTTGTCATTTATTGTAGGGAACAACTCCTCGCTAAACAATTTGAAGGCAAAAAACAAACAAACCATGAACTAAAGAACAATGGAGATGTCACAGACTTGACACATTATCATGTGAGTCTGTGCTATGAGTGCACTTTAGAGTATATTCATGTGATTGTGTGGGTGGAGGTTGGATAACCAGTGATGATGTCATCCCAACTTCCTGCCTTTATTTCCTGGCTATGAGAAGGGCTTGGTACAGAGGTTTTATTATAATGTGCAGATAGAGGGAGCTGTCAATGAGGTATTCAGACGAACGCCGCTGCAGGTCAGCATCAAACAGGAAATCCCCGGCCTCCTCCGTGCTTTGGTGGAAGTTGTAAACATGGCGAACCACCACTTTTCCTTGTTGTTTCGCCATTACAATCACCGTCTTCTGGAAACTAACACCCGCAAAGTCTGGACTAGAAGTCGCTGGTGTTACAATAATCCGTGGTCGACCTCCCTCTGTACGGGTGGGCTGCATAGCACTCAGCTCAGTATATGTTGACCTGGCATTGAGGGGGAGCCAGCGTGGAGAGAACAGAGCATTCCATGTCACTCTTTTAGCGGAGTCGTAACCGCTGGGCCCGAGCTGAGTCTGAAAACTGAAACTACGGTCATCACGTGTCGGGTTATTGATGACCCAAGAGGATCCCCAGGAAGAGGAAAGGTAGTTACGTGGAGTGAAAATACTACAGTTCACATCAAAGTACTTGGCCAGTTGTATGGGTGAGGCAGAGTGAAACTGAAATGCTAAATAGAGGAGATCACGAATGGACTCATAGTACTTGAGCATGAGGAGAGACTGCTTCTGAAGACGGAAGAGGTGCTGAGGTGGGATCATGCCATATCGAAGGGCCCTGAGAGCACTCTCTACTGTAGAAGCGTCGGGCTGGTTGTGATTAATCCAGGCCTCTAGGGCTTCATAGAGCTCAAGCTCACTCTGCAGTATCAGGTCAGATCGCTGGAGCAAAGACAGGAGCAGGTCCTCACTGACGGCGCTCCATTCTCCACTCTGCATCACAGAGGACAGGTTCCACGACAGGTACTGCAGGCAGCTGTCCCTCAAGACTGTGTCCCCAATTTTCAGAGCATAGTTGTACCAGCTGACCACATGACTGTTGGGAGAATCACTAGAAAGATGCTGGGTCATATACTGGGTCAGTCCATGCTGCAGGCCTAACACGTGGTACTTACTGGCCAACTTATGCAGAGAAATAGCCTGATCAAGCCGCACTGAGACGTCACCGCAATATAGATATCTGCAAGGAAAAGTAAATGTTTTATATTTATATTTATATTTATATTTATATTTATATTTATATTTATATTTATATTTATATTTATATTTATATTTATATTTATATTTATATTTATATTTATATTTATATTTATATTTATATTTATATTTATATTTATATTTATATTTATATTTATATTTATAATAAAAAGTAGTGTAAGAATGTATTCATAAAAACAAACAACTTAACCATTTTAACTGATAAATCCATCCTCACCTGACAAACTTGTCAAAAACAGCTGCACAGTCTGATGTCTCCCTTAAAACCACAACGCTGTCGTTCCGTCTGATCAGCAAGTCTTCGAACACGTCACTTTGCAGTGTGAGAATCTGGCTGTGGGCCTGGATCACCTTCACTTCGTCCATGTAAATGGTTTGCACACGCAGAGTGATGTCACTGCCATTCCCCGTGGACAGCAGCGTCTCCATGCGCTGCACTAAAGCCATGGAGTGGTTCAACAACGTGGCACCGCTGTCCAGGGGCGCCTCTTGCTTCAGAGCAGCTACGGAGAAAGCAAGACTGTGGGCAGTAGTTACATACAGTAGCTGCAGAGCTAAAGGTAGAGGGAGAAGACTGCCCAAACGAAGGTCAAGGGTCAAAGGGTTAAACTCCAGGCTCTGAAAATTACTGTTCATATATATATATATATATATATATATATATATAACAAATACTGATCACAAATGTGTGGTGTGTGTAAAGGATGCAAAAGCCGACATATTAGCTCCAAATAAAGCAAAACTACAGGTGCTGACCTAGAAAATGACTTGTCGTCACTTTTCAGGGTCCTTTTACACTGATGGTTCACACCATACCAGAGAGACCCAACATGACGAGATGCTCTGACATGACAGCAGTGAGCAGCAGGAGTGGGGGTAGGGGTGAGGTATTATATTATATATTATATATTATTTCTTTATCATAAGTGGTCCTGCTTCAAAGTTTCTTTTATCAATTAGCCAGCCAGCATGCTAACTTAGTCGAGCTTAATTGGGAGTTTCTAGACAAATAAGTTGAGCACAGCGGACCCAATTAACAGAAGCACGCAGTTGTTTAATTTTTGTACCAAAAAAGCACATCACACAGAAAGATATTTTACATTCAAAAAATTAAAAACATTTTAGACCCAGTCTTAAAAGAACTAGGATGAAATGAGTGTCTCCAATGCAGCTGCAGAGGGATTCTGACTAACATCTGTCAAAGACACATTTTCTCAGATTCATCCATTGCTTTTGTGATTTACTGTGTTACTCAAACAGCTCAAAGCAGTGTAGGAAGTGCACTTGTCTGTATTGCCTTTCTGCCCCAGCAGAAATAGATAGATGAGGACAAGAAGAGGAAAATAGATAAAATACCCATGCACTACCCCGAGGCTCAGTCAGAGTCACACAATCACGGTGTGCACTACTACCCACTGACAGTACGGGGGAAGATACACTGAAATAGAACCGAAAAAGCTCCGTCCTCCAGTACGGGACATAACCAAATAAAAACAAAATTGAGAATGTTTTTTCCTAAGGTCCAACAATAAAAATAATTTATGGTATTTGTTATCTTACCTCCTCTAATTGTGACTGAGTGGAAGAGGATAAAGATGAACAGGGTGCTCATATAGGACCACGCAGGGATCCCTTGTTCATATAAGCGTACCATGTCTTTTTAGTTATTTCCTGCTTCTTTTCTGTCCACTTCTTGTTCCTTCACGAGCGCTTCCTTCTCTGTCGTGTTCTCGCAGTAAAAGGTGCGCTGCCCGTTTTGTGGCTCCCGGCTCCCTGTCCCGCACCCTTTATGTAGGACACTGGCCTTTCCCTGGCTCATCACACAACCCCACAGATTCCATCGATTGGTGGAATCTAGCAGGGGCGTTGCTATAGCGACAGCTTTCATATTGAATTTCTCCCTTTTGGATGCATCATGGCATCGATTAAAGATTTTTTTTTATTTTTTGTTTAAAAGTCTATTTTTGCTTTAGAAACTATGCAATAGTCAGTGTCAACACACTTTCATGTCCTGACAGGTTACAGAATGCAGTAGTACTCCGAAGAACACTAGCTTTTGATAAAGGTGCAGTAAGAATCCATTCGTTTTTTATAGGTTTATTAATGAAGAATGCCACTGAGACAATCATCATTCTTAACCAATAAGGGGAATGATTTAATTAACGATGGCGCTAATAAATCACTGAGATTAGAAATAAGTGAAGTTATTCATATGCATTTTAATTATTTCAGATGGAAGCTGTAGCTGCAACAATCTCACAGAGGCTTGCATGATAAAGTCAAAGTTAGGGATGGATTAGGTCTTGTTGCTGGCAGCAATAATCAATGTGAAATGCTTTGATGACTTAATGTGAGCTCTGTAATAAGTTGACAAAAGAAATTCAGGCAAAAAAAACCCTACAAGGCTGGTTTATTTATTTACTTATTTAACCATCGTGAAACCTGTGAGTTAAGTGGGAAAGGAACGGAAGAACCACCTAAATATTTTTGCCTTAACAAGAATTGGTCAAAATGTGCCCAAAAAGCTAATAATGAAAAAAGGAGGAACAATTGGCTAATGTATATTTTGGCTGAGCATTGGATAAAATTAGAAAAAAGTAAGAAGAAGCTAAAACTATTAAAAATAGTTAACAGAGTTAAATGGCACAAAAAGGCTAAATGTTAGCCATGAAAACAGCTTGAAAGAAGAAAAGAGCTTTGAATGAAAACTTATATTAGCATATTCATATTAAAATATTTTTTCAATATTTTGTAAGACAGACATGAGGAAATGGTGACACAGAAGGTCTGGTTGCTGAAGCTGTAATAACAGAGAAAATATGACGTCCTGTCAAGCCTTAACCTGAGCAGTGGCTATGAATAACCTGGCAGGCCTGTATAGTAGAAGGGAACAGTCCTGAGGTGTCCTAATGAAGCGTGATGTCACAGAACAACCCTGACAACATAGAAGAAATATATGCAGTGTCATATTCTACCTGCCTGCTCTTCATTTGGTAGTTTGTTTGTCAGCCTGTGGGTGCAAATGTTGTTCAACTCGAACTGGAGTCGCATTAATCCTCATGTCGTTCTCTGTGTTTGTCTCCCATTAAGGTTAAACTGTTCTCACCTTGACATCAACTCCTATCAAGGGCTCTGCTAACCAGACAACAATGCAATGCAATTCAATGCAGATAATATCCCAGGGGACTGAATCCGCTGAGGGATCGATGAACCACAGAGGGGGTTCCATTGCACAGCATAAACAGCATTATTGTTCTGGGCTACATGCCAATATGTGCTTCCACAAAATGTCCTGGTTGACCTTACTGTTTGCTGATGCCACAGGGGAACGCACCAGTTTGTCCGGTCCTCTAAATGTAACAAAAGCTGAAATCATGTCAGTACACAGTCGATTGTATGTTGGGTATGTTGACATGGTTGAGCACGCTCAGTGATTTTTTTTTTTAAATTAATGTCTGTGGCGTTTGTTTGCTTTTCCTTTTGTATTCAAGTAAATATTTCAAATATATCCCCTGTGGTTAAAGTGCTCCACTGTGTAGGAAGACTGAGATTTTACAACTAAAGCACAAAAGGGAAATATGATATAGCTTCGACCTGATGTTATTAAATTAAAAATGTAACTGGCGTTAACGTCACTTGGTTCACACCAACTGTATAGAGCAAACACATAGGCAACAAATAAAATAAAATAGCTGCTTCAACTGAACATTTCCCAGTATTTATTTATCATCATGTCGATGCACATTTTATGTTCTTAATTTTGGGTGACCTCCATAATATCAAGAGTAAAAACCTCTATTGCTGCGTAACCTTTGTGAAAAACAAATCCTCCTACGATGACAAAATTGTACCACCAGGTAGCACTGTAAACAGCCTGCACCGCTTATACTTTTTTAAAGATGGTTTAAAGCAGGGGTCTCCAACGTGTCACTTGCGAGTTACCAGGAGCTCGCCGCCCTTTTCCAAGTAGTTCGCCAAAGGCTAATGAATCTAATAAACATTTATAAACTTAATTGGTCGCTTTAAAAGTCTGCTTTAATTGTTATCCAATCAAAATGTACACTTGCCGGGGCAAGTGTACAAAACAAAATGTTTATTTGCCATTTAGCTATCAATCAAAACTTGCTGTCGACCTTGATTAGTCAGTGGTGATGAGTGATGAGATGTAGTCATGATGGTGACAGGTTTCCAAACCAACAAGGAGATTCCACAGACGCTGCTACTGAACACACACAGGTCAAAACCTACTGACCAAAAACGGCAAAAACTAAGGCACCAACTGGTTATGCACAGAAGAAGACGGAACAGTCATTTCAGGAACAATGTTGTCAATAACAATTAGACAATACTCTTTATATTTTGTCACTTTGTTTTAATTTATTTTTGTTATTTGTACACGTACATTGTGTACAATAAAGTTTAAAGTGCGTGTGTGTGTGTGGGGGGGTGTTAGAAGATGTTTAACACATGGGAGTATATTATGTGTCATTTTGTCACATAGATATGATACTTTGTGAATATTACACATTCTTTCTTTTCTTCCATGTTTTTGACGATTTGTGTTGTTTCTGTTGACGAAAAGTAGCAATGTGCCATTGCACATCAATGATTGGTTGTTGATGAATTCAAATGCACATTAGCGATTGGATGTTGAGGAGTGCAGTTGCACGCAGTAGTTTCAAATATGAAACGTATGTAACGGACGTCATTGAAGACCCAACTGACTCTGGGCTTTCTATCACGTCCGCTAATACTTCACGTTTGTTCATCTCGCCCTCTGCTGTCTGTAAGGTTCAATTGCATTCATCATCATCCAATCGTTGAAGTGCAATGGCACATCAATTGGAATTGCTCCCTTAAATGGCCTGACGTGCAGACAAACTTTTGGAACTTGTTGTTGGCGGAGCTAAAACCGAACAACCGACCGCATTTCTTGATAAAATCCTATCATAAAACGTGTCACTTCGCTACCCTACCCTTGTGGAACATGAATAAAATAAATATGTTTCGTTATTGTATATCCGTCATGACGATTGCAAAACAATTGCAGTCGGTTTAATACTTTGGTGATGTTAAAATATGTCAACAGTGACATATTGTAAATGTTTAGGCAAAGAAAGCTCATTGAGTTTGTATATTCGAGTTGAGCTATGAAAATAAATGTAACACAACATAAGTAGCTCTCTCATGTGACAAACATTAGGGCTGATCAAAATTAATTTGTGTAGAAATTAATTTTCTGTAATTTGTGTAGAATGTAAAAATAAACAATACTTCCTCAAAGATAGCTCAAAGTTTAATCATTGCTGAAAATGTATTTAAAAAAAAAATCAACATTTCAGAGGAAAAAAGTAAAACCATATTTAGACCGTGCAAGTGTCATATTTGGCCTGGGAGCCTGACTTTGGGCATTTTAATAAGTGGTAACCCAATTTAATCACAGAAGTGATCAAATCAGTGAATCCGTGAAGAACCCATTAATCATTAGCCATTACTGTGATTGAAATTGAACCACGCAATGAATCGAGATCATTCGGTTTCCACAGAGCGTTAACAAGTGGAAGTGACAGTGGAGTGAGGTGAGTAGAGCCATTGTTTGACTGTAAACCACCTGAGATGTTAATCTCACAGAATATGCAAAGCTGCAAACACCAGTGAGGCTGGTCAAGGGAGAATTTTTTTCGAACTGCAGAAAGTACTGATATTTAGAGGAGCAATAACACCATTACACGGGCTGGTGTTCGTCGGCGACTTGTTTACTACAGCATGTTATTAAATAAGAGTCAGTAGATGGAAGACCTGTTCGTGATCGGAACCGCAGAGGAAACGCAAAGCGATTAAGCTGGTCCTTGAACGCACCAACCGCATCGCCTTAAAAACGGAGAGAGGAATTATTGACCAGAGCAAGTTTAAATTCGGAGGTCGAATTTTCAACTCGGAATATATATCTTCCTGAAACACCTGTGTATTCATCACTCCAGGTAAAATAATCACTGGCAGGCTTAAACTGTTTTAATGAATGGTTTTTACGTTTAAAATGTCAGCTTCGTGTCGCGATGCGTTTCAGTTAAAAAAGTCAAAAGTAAAAATACTACAGATTGGTATTTGTACAAATATTTTGGAAAACTATGAATGGGATAATAAAGGTATTTAAGTGGATAATGCCCCATTTAAATCTTTGCAAATAACAGTATGAGAAGAATTGGTGGACGAGGTCAAATGTCTCTGTTTGTTGGGTGTCATTATAAAATGCACGAAGACGCTCTCTTTAAATTAAATGTTAGTGCACGTTATTGGACATTATAATTACGTGTTTAGTGTATCATTTAAATTCACCACAGAGTGATAATAAGAGGCAGGGTAGGCAAAGCATTCCACTTTCTGAATCATCTATTTAAATGATTTTATTTTTAACGACTGACAGGAAACAGAGACAAGGGGAAAGGTAAAATTGTAGTATTGGAAGCATGCGACTGTTTGTCAAGAATAGACGTACAGTATCTGTAGGATTTAACAGTTGGAACTTTGAAAAGTGATCAGAAATACAGCTTTGGCAGTAACTGCTTATTCCATTTGAAGTACATGGTGTAACAGAGCGTCTTCATGACGTCAAATAGGATAGTGTCTTTTTGCTCATTTCTTTGCTAATATGTGAATGATCATATTTATTGTGAAATGATGTACTCATATATATGTATATATATATTTTAAATAGCAATAAGGACGTCTACACTGAAGTCATGGACCCAACCACTGCCCCAAGAGGATGCGGTTCGAGCATCAGATCAGATTATTACAACTTGTGTGACCTGACTAAAGTGTGGGGTATCGTGTTGGAAGCTGTTGCTGCTGCTGGGGTGGTGACGTCCTTGGTCCTCTTCATCATCCTCTTGGCCTGCGTACCGTTTATAACAGACAAAAAGAGGAAGAGTATGGCTGCTCTGCAGGCTGTTTTTTTACTCTTCACTCTGGGGCTCTTTGGACTTACTTTTGCCTTCATCGTGGAGCAGAACTCTGTCACCTGTGCTGTACGCAGGTTCCTCTTTGGAGTACTTTTTGCAGGCTGTTTCATCTGCCTGATGATGCATGGGCTTTGGATTTCCTTATTGGAGTGGGATCCCAAGGGTTGGCAAATCTACCTTGGAGCTCTGGGCCTCTGGCTCATTGAGGTGATCATCAACACCGAGTGGCTCATCATCACTGTGGTCAGGCAACCAGGAGGTGACATCACCCTCGACCCAGCCTGCAACATAGCTAACAAAGACTTTGTAATGGCACTCATCTACGTCTTGTTCCTGATGCTAGCTATGATATTTATAGCAATTCGCACAACAGCACTTAGGCAGAAACAGTGGCACAAAGATGGAGTTTTCATCCTGATCACAGGCCTCATCACCCTAGCTATCTGGGTCACATGGATTATTATGTACATTGATGGGAACAGATTGTCCGGAAATGCCAGTTGGAACGATCCTACTCTGGCTATAGCTGTGGTGTCAAACGCCTTGGTGTTCCTTTTCCTCTACACTGTACCAGAGGTCTGTTTGCTGACTCAGCAAGACCAAGACATAGAAGAGCCTAATGACGGAGACCACGTCTACACTCCGCGGAATCTGGTTTATGACAACACCCAGGTACCAGAAAAGCCTCACATGAATGTGTACCTGGACAACAAAGCTTTTGAGCTGCATGAGACTCCAGGTAAGACATGATGCACCACCACCTATGTCTTAGTATCCTGGTTTAGCTTTTGTTAATCAAAAAAGGATGTAACATAATTTTTTATGTTGTACACTTGTTCTGAAACAAGCTACACAGTAAGTTCATTCACGGAAGTCTATGAAAGTCTATGCAAATTCTAACCAGATTTTTAGCAATTGCAACAATGATTCTAGAGACTTGAGACATTGAAAGAGAAAACCCAACACTAAGAAGACTGTTAACTTAAAAAGTTATTTATGTTAAAAAAATGAATTTATTTCCAATTAACTTTCATTCATATCAGGGAACTATCTAAGTTATCTTTCTGCTGCTCTATCTATCTATAAATCTATCTATCTATCTATGCTTTACATCGGATTCCTTATCCTAATCTGCGGTTAATGTTCCTTTTCACTTTTTTAACCATCAGCGACAAAGCCAACATCTCCGTATGCAGCTTACAATGGTCAGGTACGGAGTAAAGTGTACCAGCCCACTGAACTAGCTCTGATTTCCCAGGGCATGACACAGGTGAGTGAGCTCATTTACAGTATGAAACTCCTGCTATCGATCAATCCTAAATTACGACACACTCCGTGTTTCTATAGGTGGAAAAAGATGCCATGATCTCACGGGCCACCACTCCTTGACTGAGTCCAGGGAGCAGCAGTACCCTCCCTCATTCAACCAACTCGAGGTTGAGAAGACTTGATGCACACCCACTTGGTACAATTATCAAACAAATGTCAACTGGGGGTTTGCTCTAGTTCCACAGCGCAAAGCAAATGTAAATCTTCACCTGTCTCTTCCTAGGAAAAGACACTAATCTGATTGGCATTTACCCTCAAAACTGACTTAGTCGTCCAATGTTGTCGCACATTTTCTGTCTGCATAACGATTATTGCGTACGACAGGAGCTCAGACTCGTAAACAAAAATAAAACGCTGTGTCGAAAAAGAAACTAACGTGTTATTCGGCAATTCGAACATTTTCATATGGAAAGGCTGTCAGCTTGGCTTCTCTATGTCATGTCCATTCAAACAAGGCCATGAAAATTAGGACTCAAAACTTCATCTGTCACACTAATACCTTTGTGTTGTTGTTTAGTAGTTCTCTGTTTAAGTCCTGGTTCAGACAGTTTTTGTCATTTGTGGTTCTAATGTGTGTGCATTTAGTGTGGCTCTGATAGGAGTGTAAATGGTTTCTGTTCTGACGTGTGGCTCTAATGGATTTTACCTTAAGACCAATGTCCACTGGACTTAGCAGTTGTTAAAGGAAGAACAGTATGGAAAGGTCTTCTGATTTGTTTGGTATCCTTTATACTGTTACCAGAGCAGTCAATGGATTTTAGTTAATTAAATAAGGATAAAAAAAATAAACTTTATTGGGGGCCAAGACACAAACACAACTCTTTTGCCACATTTTCTCATATTTTCAACATGAAACTGTGGTAAAAACAAAAATGGAGCCCAATAGTTGATGTGGATGTTCATTGTTTTTACTTATTATCTGGAAACACTGATGGAGTGATGTTGATGTGACCTGTTCCTGCTTCTGTAAACTGCTCTGGTGCTAGGCTCAGTGTAACATCTTAACAGACCCGGAGTTTAATGTAGGCTGTGAGTAAAATCAGATACTGTGTGCTGGTTATGAAAATTACCACTGGAAGCCAAATGTTTTGACAAACCATAGCTTCAGTTTTTGTGTGACTGTATATGTAAAGTTATGGCATGTAAATGATAAAAAGCTGGATTTCCATAATATATATTTTTATTCCTTGTGTATAAAAGTTCTGATCCATCCAACGTCACCATTGTCTGACTCACCACTTCATAAAGATAATATAATTGAAGACAGATCCACTTTTATATGGAATCAAACTAAGACAAAATGAGACGTGAGCACACATACTCACAGAGCCATGTGAAGTGAGTGAACTGCTGCTGCCTAGCAGCAGGCTGAGCCTCCACCCTGTGTTGACAGGATGAACATTTTACCAACTGAGAATCAGAAAGATCAGAGTGCATTTGATGTGTAACACCACCATTGTCAGTCCAGCATACAGCAGATATGTTGAGTAATATGACGTATAATGTCAAAAAGAGCTGTAGATAATGGGTGTTGCTTGTCGGCTAGAAAAACATATCCAAATATAAACAAACCAGAGCTATGACACCTGAGACAATGTTTTCTTAGAAACTCTGACTTGGCTACTGTCTGTGGGATCCCAGACACACAGTCCTCTCCTCTGTTTTTTTATTTAAAAAAAAAAGTATTTTACATTAAATCCTTATCAGTAACACAACATGTTGAGCAACCTTGTGCTGTGGCAGTCAACCACCGTGAATCCCTTGGTATTATGAGAAGCTGTCGTGTGCACATGGACACGGCTCGACTTAATGACCACTAGTGGCTGGGCTCAGCACCGGGAAGTCAGCACTACCAATCACACGCAGCTGTCCCCACTTAATGCATTTCCTTGTCACTGTGACAACCCTTAGACGACAAATGGACTGGAAAAAAAAATGCTGGTCAAGCTGACCAAACAGAAAAGACAGAGCTCTCAGTCACTTGTAATAGTAGAAGAGAAGGTAGTATAGTAGATCAATAATACTCTGATTTAAATGTGTTTATTTATTTTAAAAACGTTAAAAGATGCTTTTGTGTTTTTAATGACCATTTTTTAAATGGATAAACCATTAAACAGACCCTTTGTAAAGACAGCCTACTAGTTCCAGGATCCAGATTCATAGTGGGCTTAACAAAAACATCATTCATTTACAATGAACTTCCATCTACATTTTTTTAGATCGCAAAAATCAATAGGTCATGAGCGACATACCCAGAGGTTTGCTGAAAACCAGTTTGGCTTGTAATAATTTTATGTCCAGAAAGGACAAAAAATAAATAAAATTGAAAAAATAAAATTCTACACTGATGATATGCATAAAAAAAGCCTAGTTCTACAGGCACAGTTTCATCTGCCTGCCATTTCAAATGAAGAGTAGAACCAAAACCGAACAACTTCTTTACAAGTTGTAGCAATACTCCAAGGGAGTATCCCAAGCTCTTAATGATATAAACTTACATACACCACATTTTGAAATGTGTCACGGCTGTGTACATTTTCTTTATCCTAAATTGACATTGATGGGTCAGTGAAAACGACTAATACTTATTTTTACCATATAAGGTCCCAGCCAATTTAACAAATAAAGATGATATCAAAATAAATCTATTATATAAACAATTTGTCACCTGTTCTGGAGCAGCTCACAGGATATCCCACCAGGTTCTCCAGAGTTTAATTCCATACCATTGTTACTTTTTATATTATAAATTTACATTTAAACAGTTGGGTTTTGATGAAACAAAGACCATTAAATAGAATAAATACAAATTAAAATAAAACTATGAGAATGTATGGATGAAAAATACATTTTATTAAAAGAAAAACACATTAGGATGTGTTAGACCAGCTCAAAAAAGCTGGAACACTGCCATCTAGTGTGAGTACATAATTTAACATCTTTTGTGTGTTAATTGTCCTTTATCTAAATCACAAAAAGTGTGTTTTTATACAAACGTATCAACAACAGTCGACTGTATTTTTATGATTATACTGGAGCTTCTGTTGAACTACAATTATGAAAATGACAGGATGACGTTAATCTTACCACAAACTTGGACCCGTGGATGCAAATGTTTGCTGATGCCACCTGACTTGGTAAGCTGCACCTCGTCAAATCACATCCAGAGTCCAAGTCAGGGTTTGAGTCTGGATCTGTGCTGCTGATGATTACCTCACATTCAGCAGCTCATCAACTCTACTGTCCAGTGCAAAAAAAGCTAAACCTGAAACTGAGTGATGTCACACATCACTGATAGTTCTCTTTTTGGCCTGACTGAAATTCTTGGCCTCGTGCTGCTGCTGCTGCTGCTGCTTCTTCAGATGACGATAGGCCTCCACTGCTCGCTGACGCTCCTCTTCCATGATTCTCTGTCGGGCCATGGAGGGCTTGGCCATGGAGGACGCTGTGTTTCCAAGAAGAGAGTTGAGGAGCAAGTCTTTGGTAGAATTCTAAAGATGGAAACCAAGAAGATAAACAGAGTGAACTAATTTGAATGTGTAATTGACACGTCCATGACATCGACACCATCTACCCAAACTACAACTTCAGACAGTCACAAGTCAAGTGTGATTTATTCAAGTGACAGTTACCTGGGACTTGATCTGAGCTTTTCTGGGTTTAATGTTCAACGTTGGTGGAGCCATGCTCACCTCTCCAAACGGAACATGATCTACAAAATCACAAACACAAATGTTTACAACAAACTGTGTTTTCACAGATTTCAAGAGCTTCCGCACTCATCTAGAATCAGTTTGTGTAAACCTGAATAATATAGGTTTAATAATCATCTTCCTCCTAAAAAAAACACCTGTGTTGGTTTTTTCGTACCTGAGAGCTCAACAATCGTTTGGTGCTTTAGAGCAATATTCACACTAAACAATATCACATTTGCCTCGTAATAGTTGCCATCCTTAAAGTCAGGCACCAGGACCTACCTACAAACATTTCCTTTTCCATTTTGGCTTCTTTCTTGTTCAACTTTTTCTGATGTAGCTTCTGTAACTTCATTTTATCAAACCTGTAAAAAAAACATTAGACATCAGGATACAAACTGACTTTCTTAAACACCAAAAGCCTTTTCCAACTGCATGTAAACATTCAACAGAAGCAGCAGTTCAGACCACTGTTTATAACTGTTTATATAGAGGGTTTTTAAAAAGAAAAAAAGTTCTTAACCATGAGGAACTTACTCTTTCTTTTTATCAGATTTGTTCTTCGCAGGCTTCTCCTGTTTGTCTGCATCCAACTCTGGCTTTCTATCTATCTGATTTTTAGTGAGGAAGCGTACATGATTGGTTTCGTTGTTCATGCGCCTCAAATAAGCTTTTTCACTTTCGTTCTTTCGCCTCTTGAAATGTGGCACAGGTATGTCACTGTCCATGGACTTCTCTGGTTTTCTTCGTGAAGTGATAGCTAAGAGACAGATATAAGTAAATTCGCTGTCTCTACAAGTAAAGCCAAGTATACAAGAAAAGTCAACACCAAGGACCTTCGGGGACATTTCTCTTTTAAATTCATACTCACCCTTATGTTTTTTGGATACTAGAGTTCCATTTTTAATTTTGTCCTTGCTCTTCATTATCTCTCTAAGCTTAAACGGAATGTGATCCAGGTGATCGACTTCTTTGGTTTTCTTTGGTTTACCATCTCGTTTGGTCTTCTGGTCACTGGAGTTCAGACATAAACATTTATCTATGAGTGAAAAACGAACTACCAAAAAAGCTGTTACGAATGATGTGCATCAACAATGTCAACGTAGCCATGCATTTAAGTTTAAAACGAGATTTATTGTTAAGAACTTTAAATGCGGGTTTACTTTAACAAGAAAACATCATGTAAACAAGTCAAAGGCAAATGAAGACTCAAAGAAGACATAGAACATTTTACAAGACTTTATAAAAGTTTAATGCAGCTAACAGCTGCTAATTTACAGGGCTAACAACACCTAGCGCTGTGGCCCGATGCAGTTACTGTTTTTCTTCGGCACAATAGAGCTGCTACGTTACCTCGATTGTGGTCTGCTCCTGTCTCTTTTCTTTCCTGGTCCGATGGGTTTGTTCTTGTTATTTTTCGCCATTGTCGTTTAATTTTTGAATGAAAACATGACAACAACAACAACACATGTAGAGCAGCGTGTGCTACCTCTGAACTCTGAACTTCCACCGTAGACGTCAGAATGACATTTCTGTGTGCAGATGTCTCACTCTCCCTCTTTGTTGAGTGCGCGTCTGTTGAACGTTTCAATGGATTCAACATTGAAGCTCTCGCAAATCTATTGTGCCTCACACTGGTGTAACTTTATTTCAACCACACCAGGTAACACCAATTTTAATGGCAAAGTTTGAAGAGTACATAGAAAACATAAACGTAAATGTAGTCAATTTGCTCAGTACCTCAGAGCGAAGCGGCGCATGACAAGTAATAGACAATCTTTGTTCAATCCCGAGATGTAAGTACTGCTCTCACCACGTGATGGCAGCACACCGATGATAATTTGACCAATAACAAAGCAGCGTAAAAACAGCTCATTTGCATAAAACAGGTTGAAGTTATTGATTTTGGCCTGAAAAGACTGGGGAGATCATTTTAACGATGTTTATATCGCACGTAGAATGTTTTATATTGTTGTTGCTGACGGATAGATAGATAGATAGACAGATAGATAGATCAATAGATAGATAGATAGATAGATAGATAGATAGATAGATAGATAGATAGATAGATAGATAGATAGATAGATAGATAGATAGACAGACATTGCCTTTCTCTGCCAGTATTCACAAACGCATATTTCCATAACCAAACAAATCAAATACTGTATTAATTTTTTAAGAGTTCCAGAGGAGTTTTAGAAAATATTTTATCTGTATCAAATAAATAACATTTACAGCTGCTTTTAATCATATTAGTTTAAATGTTGTCAGTCAAAATGTACAGTTGTGTTAAAACATTTCTATCTTAATGTCAATTGTAGCTTTTGTTGCAATGGCCCTGAGTTTACAGCTCCACTAACAGTGGGCGCTCAGCTCTGTAAAAAAAAACACACACACACAAAAAAAAAAAAAATCGAAAAACAAAACAGACAAACAGAGCTGTGATTCAGCACCTCTTCAAACATGTCCACACCATGTGTATTTCTTATTTGAAGGAAGGGATTTTCCTGTAAATCTAAAATTGTTCATGTGTCTCTGATCTGCATTCAGATGTTATTAATATAATACCATAATGTTTATCACAACAACACATGGGCCAGGACAATAAAACTGCCTTTGTCACTGATTACTATTAATTATCAATATGTCAGCGAGTTATAAAATCTATGTCTCTGGATGGTTTCTAGCAGCCATGTTGTGATGAACAGAGTCAGGATCTGGGTGCCGAGTACAACGATGCAGACTGTCCCGATCACGCCGTTGTGCAGCTCAACCCACCGAGAAATTCCTCCCAGACAGCCCCCCAGGAAGATGACGCTTTGAGCCGTAAACTCATCAAGCAGCTGTGCTCCCACCCCACACTGTGAGTTCCACACTGTGCCGTTCTCCAAAGGGTTTACACAACAAGTAGCAGGAACGCCGCAGGCCAGGACCCCTGGAGCTGAGCAGTTGTAATATCTGGGAAAGTGGGAAAAATGAACACATAAAGTTGAATTTTTAGGAATGTGTTATATTCATCAGTCTTTTTTTTTCATATCCATGTTGCTCACACTCTACTCCAGTGATTATCACATGGTGGCCCGTGGGCCAAATCCAGCCCACTCAACCATCCAATATGGCCCGTGACTGGATTCCAAAATGAACAAATAATAATGTGAGACAGAAATAGTATTTTTATTTCATTTTATTTGTGTGTACGGATCCCAAGGTGTCTGTCTAGAAAAATTCTCTGCCCTTGACAGATAAAGTTGCTGACCCCTGCTTTACTCACATGTTGACTTCCCAGTCACGATAGTTGTCGGCCCCACAGCACTGCAGATTTGTTTGTATCTCATCTGTGATGAATCTCAAATCCAAGTCATCCTGGTAACGCGCCATTGCAGTTAAAATTCCTGACCGCAGGTAGCCTCCAAGCTGGTCCTGCAGACTGTAGAGCAGGATTGCAGCTAGCACCTGGGCAGATACGAGCACCAGCACAGCAGCTGAGAAGAGCTTTAACAAACAGGAGTTTTCTCTCAGTGCACCCACACAGCCCGACAGGCAGAGCATGGTGAGTAACAAGCCCAATGTCACGAGCAACAGCATTGGGTCGGTCCCAATACTGCCCACCTTCTCCTTGGCAAACGACTCTTTGCTGATTAAGCCCCACATCCCTAGACCCAGAACTAAAAGGCCCAGGACTGTAAAAAGCAGAGTGCAGAGAAACAGGAAATATTTCAGGAAGTAGTCCATCCATGAATAGCTGTAGTAGCGTTGGATCCTCGAAAATACTGTGTGGCTGTGGTTCCGTCCACCGTTTGTCCCTGATTCCATATACTCTTTAGAGACAATGTCAAACTCCCCAGTATCGCTTTCTCTAGAGCCTGCCTTTGAGTACACAAGAATACAGTTAGAACAGAGTTCTGGAAAAAACAGTGACATATTGTGATCCTTACCTTTGGTATGAGGGGAGTGGACTCATCCTGCGAACCGTTTCTGCCGATCAACAGGAAAGGAGAGCTTTTTATCCCCAAATATCTCTTCATCATTGCCATGACTGGGAGATGGTGCTCCCTTTGTGTAGCTCTGGTCACACTGAGTGAAACTAATGGGAGGAGAGGTGGGGTTCACAGGAGGGGGCATTCAAATAGGGGAGCATGTGAGATGTGGTGGAGCAGCCACCCAGTGTTCAGCCTCTGGCTGCTCTGAAACGTAAGATCTGGTCATCATGTGAGAGTCACAGTGTGGGGATTACACAGTGAAGGAAATTCACACACATTAGAGTGGAACTCCAGCGATCTGGAACGACTTTAACAGCACATAAACGGAGCAGAACTGTGAGCAAAAATGTCAGCTCCTATGGCAGAGAAAACGGGAAAACTACGAAAAAATTGCTGTTGGCACTTTAATTTGTTATATTTTATAATACAACTGAAAATATATAATTTTTCATTGGTATCTCATGTTCCATCACCTTCTTTTGTACTTCCTATAATATTCATATTTTTTTACTCTCCTAGAACAGGAGCTGCAAATTTTCATCCTGTAAACTGGTGTGTTGTATGAAACTATATACAGCTGAGGTCATGACCCCCATGAGCTAAACACCAGGACCTTTCTTTCCTAATACGTAAACCTGTTATGCAAAAACAGTTAGTTTATTTTAACCCTTTGATGCTACAGCGTAGTCACGTTAACTGAGGTGAATTTTACTTGTACAACAAATATTTGTCAGTGCAGTTTTGACTTAAAATTAAAATAAAAATTGTATTATCAACCAAAACCCCCATAACCAGGGGTGGCGTTGGGGTGGGGGGTGGAGGGGTCATTATAGGTTAATGTTTTTAGACTTACTTCTATCAAGTACAAAATGGATCCAACAACATTTAGGCCTGAACTGCTTGGGGAACTCCCATGGTGCACAGAGCTCTCTCTCTCTCTCTCTCTCTCTCTCTCTCTCTCTGTCTTGCTTTCTTGTCTTTATTGATTTATACACATTAACATTAGTTGGTTAATAATATTAACCCTGTCCTCACTCTTTTCCCTGGTTCATGCTTTAGTCTCCCAGTCTTCAGATAATGTGCAGATAATTGCACTGTATGCCCAGTATTGCACATCCAGACCCAATACTTTTGTTGTGTAAATTTCCATTATTTAAAATAAATTTTAAAAAAAATAGCAATATATTTATCCTTCTGTATTTAGTACTGCTAGTGTACTATTAGCATCTCAATAATCTTGGCCAGTCATGGTCTCTCCACCTCCTTTTTCTCTCTCGTCTCTGTGCTCATTATGGGCTGCGTTGCCTTAGCTCTGTGACATTGATATCATATGCTCATTATGTCTTCCTATGGTGTGTCTTTTTCCACACATCAAGAGGGACAGAAATGTCAAGTTCTTGATGACATCACTGTGTGACCTCAAACCCCATAGGTCACACAGACACAGGTCACATGGCTTTGACAGGCCAGTTGCATCATTGAGAATTTTCAGCTATAACTCAGATATTTCAAACCCTCACATTGGTTTGTGGAGCTATAAGGTGGTATGATGCTGCTGTGAGTGAGTGAGTCATAAACAGAAGCCTGGCTTCACACCATTCACTGCTGTCATTCTTTCCTGTCTTTGCTGTTCTGGGCTGGAAGGAATGCACTCCAGAAATGTGTCCTTCCATAAAAGTTTCCAGGATTATTCATTTTAAGGAAGGAGATTCTGATATGTATGCGTCATTTAGTACAGACCAAAGTCCGGCCTGCTTTTATGTGGCCTGCTCCCCATTGGATCTCCATTAGTTTAGTTTGTAATGAAAAAAAAATCATTTTCAACATCAATGTACCCTGTATGTCGTTATGTTTACTTCTGGAAATATGTTTTTATATACCTTTTTTGTGTCTGGCAAGCTTAGTATCTTTATATGCTTTCTTTATATTCCTCACTATCTTTTAACTTTTATTTAGATGCTGGACTCTGACTACTGACAGTCTGCCTTTTTTTTCTCGTGCTTGGGTTCAACATTAGTGCAGATGCAGAGAGCGCCTGCCCAGCCTCACTGCTGATCAGAAGTAGAGGGGTTTCCTTGGGTCGTATATCAACACTCCACACATCTGCACAGGATGCGGCACAGTCAGTCTAAAGATATCAAACATGCTGGTGTGGATTCAATCAACAAAGCTGCTGTTTTTTTCTGCTAATGGCATTTCAATTTAGGGTCGAGAAGCATAAATACTTTTAAAGGTTTTGTTCAAATCTGGACTTCAAATGAACAACTGCCAAACCTTTTTTTTTCTACAGCCTTTATTAGCAGCCAAGAATCATTAACAAAAACCCTTTGTTTTAGATTTGTAGGTAAATTAATTTAAATTTTGTTGCAAAATGTAAACTTGTAGGATGATAATAAAAAAATAAAATATTATACAATAAAATAAAATTCAATCTGTTCAGCTTTTATTTAAGTTATAATGCAGTCACTTTTAGAGAGAGTCATGGAACAGCATGAACTGATTCTCCTCATCACATTCCTGAGACACTGGCCGTTAGTTGGAGTCTTTGGCCCAGTTTGTCACAGAGCCCAGATGTGGAGCAGATATTATGACAAAAGTCAGGAGGAATGCTGGTCCGCAGCCACCCTGCAGCATTTAACACCTCTGGATCAGAGCCCTGTCACCTCACAAGCCCTGAAAAGAAGCTAATGGACTCGTGCAGCATTGATCAGGGATTATGACGACATCCTGTTCACTTTGCAGATGTGGAGACTGCAACACACATTTGATAACGGACTCATGTGGAAACCACGTGTGTGTTTCCACACAGCAGCAGCAACACCATCATGCTTTGGTAAAGTGGGAGGGGGCATGTGGTGGGATCTGTCTATAAAAGGTTGTGCTCAGCAATAACTGTTTATTGTTTTACTGTTGAAAGAACATATCTCCATATATCCATATCTCCAAAGGTGTTTTTTTTTCTCCCGAGGAACTACTTCACAGAAAGGTATAGTAGTATCAAGTACTGCCTACGTTCATGTCTGCTTGTGTTTTATGTCGTATTTATGGGTTTTTGTTGATTGGTGAGGTGGACGATCATGAAGGAGGCTCTGGTCCTGGTCTGTGTGGTTTCAGTGTGTGCAGCCAAGACATGGAAAACTCCACAGTGGCCAACTAAAGGTCAGGGACCTCACTCTGCAATCTTTAAATTAAATTTAGTTTATGGCTCCACAGGAACAACTGGACAACTTTTATGTGGCCAATGATTTCTCTTTCTTCTTCTTCTTCTTCTTCTCCTAACGGCTTGCTGTAAGAATATTATATACAATTTGTTAAAAAGCCATATGATTCAAATAAAAGACAAGCCTTTTAGCCATCTCTACATCATTTACAGTAAGAGAGACTATTTTTTATTGTGAATTTCAGGTACATTCGAAACAATATTCATACATGTTTCCTTTGTGCAGTGGTGGCTTAGTGGTTAAGGAAGTGGACTTGGGTACTGAAGGCTCCAGATTTGAGTCCACCAGCTGCCAAGTAACCACTGAGGTGCTCTGAGCATGGCACCGTCCCCACACACTGCTCCCCGGGCGCTCAAAAAAGCTGCCCACTGTTCACTTCAGTGATGGGTTAAATGCAGAGGTCACGTTTGGTTGTGTGCAGTGATGTGTGTCACAATGTCACAATGACAAGGTGTTCACTTTCCTTCTTTTAAACCCTCTCTAGTACAGTAATATAGTAAGTAGGTAAGTATAGTAAGTACATGAGTTACTTAGTTATTAAATCAGTTAGATGGTTGGCAGGTTTGTACTGAGTCAGTTTTCCTACCTGCATTTTATTTTCTATATGATTTTTATTTTGTGCTATTTATTTTTTAAGCTTTTTTAAGCTAAGTTTTTATGATATATTTTTGTTATCTTTTATTCCTCATTATTTCTTACAAAAAAGGAAGAAAACTAAAAATTGTTTCTTGTACGCTTTCCTGGACCTTTCCCAGCTTTTCCCTGGACCCTGAATTTTGATGTCTAACTTCCCTGATAGTGGATAGTTTGTGTCTCCTCATCAGGACACCCTGACAACAGGACCTGTTCTAACCTGACTCAAGTCCTGGACAACTGGAAATTTGCCATTTTAAATCAAGTGAAAGAGCTGCTAATTAATGACCATGCATCAGTTCTTCCAGAATACAACAGGTGGGTACAAGTATCATCAGGCTTCAGCAGCACAGACAATATCTCAAAGTTAAGCAAGGCAGAGGTCAAAGGTCAAATAGGCAGCAGAATAACAAAGACCCTATGATGTAAGTGTTTTCACAGCCTTGTTGTTGAACATGATCTGTGACTGCTCTGACCAGAATAGCTGACTTATTTTAACAGAAATGAAATCAACGGGAATACATTTGATAATTTGAGAAGGGGAATCTTGAGTGCGATTTGAAAAGCATCCAACATCTGACAGACTGACGGCTCATCACAAACCTTCGTTCTTCTCATTAGCTGTCACTCTCAACTGTCTCTGTCAGGATCCAGCCTCTGTCAGAAGCTCTCAGAGACCTCTACAGACAGTTCAACAATCTCAAAGAGGAGCTCGGCAGGTTGGGCGCAAAGTTCGACAGAATGGAGGCTTTTGTTGATGAGCTCAGACTAAAGATACTAACTCCACCGCAGCGGCCCGTACTGAAGCTTCTCCCCAGGGTTGGACCGAGGTTTCCACAGTTGGCTCAGTTAAGAAACCCTGACAGAGCGTCGATGACCAAGCCGTCAGTGACCAGAATGCACAGGAGAGGACATAAGAAACCGGTCACTCTCAACAAGTAAAATTTAACAGTGGTTCCTATGACGATGTTTATGTTTGTGTGGCCCGTCATGGGTTTACTTGGGCTGCACAGACTCAATGTGGGCCAGCAGTTCAACATGGAATGTTTAGTGGGCCATACATGGTGAGTAGCTTCTGTTTTTAACACGTTCCGTTCTTAATACGTGACCCTTGATGGAGGATCTTAGGGTGTTTAAATCTGGAACAATGTAGCCACCGGTTGCACAAATTGTTTTTACCACAAGGTGGAAGTATTTACCCACGTATACCATACTGTGTAATTTGACTAACGGCTGACGAGCTCTTTCTTCTTGATTTGTTGATTACGTCTTCATTATATAACTGTGTTTTCAACCAACTGTTAATAAAGTGTTACTTTAAAAATAAAAAATAAATCTTCTTCTTTGTCTATTATCGTTTATTGTTCTTTTTTTTAAGCTGCCCAATGCTCACCTTGGTGTTGGGTTAAAATTTCGTTGTATCCCCGTGTTACAATGACAAAAAGATTAAATAAATAAATAAACAATCATGAATACTTCTCTGCTCTTTGTGCCCATTTTAGTCATGACATTTAAATTAACATTTACCTCAAGTTTCTGTTTTATAGAATGGAAGAGAGACAACGGTTAATGTAGCAGAAAAAAAACTTTCAAAAATGTTTGAAACAATTCGACTTAATGAAAAATCAGTAGATTTAGAAATAAAAACCTTCTGCATTTTGTTTTATTTATTTCGAAAACATTCCAGTAACTTAGTATTCAAGCATCATTAAAACCTCAAACAATTACGTGTAATTACCTTGTTTTGAGAGTGAGTTTTGAATTTAGTTTATTTACAAAAGCTAAAGCCCCTAATATTTATTATCTATTAATTTACATAGATGTATTAATGGGTTAATCAATATATTAAAATTAATAGATAATGAATAAAAGAAATACATTTGCACTAGTTTTCTTCACATTTTTCCCAAACTGTAGGTTCGTTAGATTTAAATATTCGGGACGTTAAATGAGTCAAGAAGAACCTGAAACCCAGGTTTCATCCTCCATCAATCAAGCGTCACCTTCTTCTGTTTCCAGGAAGCACCTGCAGGCTGCACCTCATGACAAGACCTTTAGATTCAGGTCATTAAACTGGTCTAGTTTCAGACTTGTGGGAAATAAGACTTTTAAACTTTCCCTCCTCTAACACACGTTTTATTTTTCATTTTAACTGTGTTTAAAAAAAAGCATATGTTATTGTTTTGAACTCCTCTGTGTTTATATATGATATACACATATGAAGGTGGCTTTTAGTAAGTTGGCTTTGAAAAACCTTCAAACATGGCACAGCACTCAGACATTAGCAAAACTCCTCCTCCTCCTCCTCCTCCTCCTCCAAACCCTCTACTCTGTCAGCAGTCAGCTCACCTCCAAGTCCCAGGACAACTCTCAGCTCACACTGACAACATGTTGGTGACCGCCTGCTCTCTCATCACTGCTCTGACCTGTGAGGAGACTGACCCACTGCACCTCTGAGCTGAAATAAAAGAAAAGAAAAAAGAAATCCAAAACACTGGACACTTTTGTTTTCTCTGTTGTAAACATCACTGTTGTAGAAATATCAAGGCCAACATCAGGAAGTCTTTGGTTTACTGGAGCATTTTATGTTTAAATTAGAAATAAAAGAAGTGTGCCACTGTTCTGTGTCTGTTTTGGTTTTGTACTGAGAACATTTGTGAACATACCGCCCTGAAAAATGTTTTAAAATGTTTCCCTTTACATTTTGTTTAACTACATGAATCCTGTTTCATTAGAAAATAAAATCACAGCTAAAAGATTAATAAGTGACAAAACAAAACCCTGGAAAGACAGACACGGACATTCAGATTAATCTGGATTATTGAACATTTAAACAAATGTTAATCTGTCAACATTACAGTTTATCAAGAAACTAATTCTTTTAAAAAAGAGATGTAGGATTAATTTAGTGGTGAAACAGTAACAGAAGGTCATTTTATGAGACCACCCTGCACCTCCTCCACCTCCTCCACCTCCTCCTCCTCCTCCCTCAGTGTCTTTATAAGCTTCAGTCTCCCTCTTCTCCTCACTCTCCTCACCCTGCTCACCTCTCTGTCACCACACACTGACAACATGCTGGGGATCCTCTGCACTCTCATCACTGCTCTCACATGTAAGACTTTCTTTTTTAGTCCTTTAGACTTCACTTTATTTTCAAACCCAAACCTGTGTCTCATGTCTTTTCTGTGTTTGTTGACAGATGTTGATGCAGCAAAAGTTCTGACCCAGACTCCTGCTGTTCATGCAGTCACTGCAGGACAACAGGTTGTTCTCAACTGTAACATTCAGAGACATGATAATGATTATGTCAGATGGTATAAACAGGTTCCTGGTGGAGTTCCTCAGTGGGTTCTTGGCTATCGTCACAGTGATAGTCTAAAACACTATGGATCAGGATTCTCCTCAGACAGATTCAACTCTAAACCCACATCAGACATTGATTATCAGTTCATTATTAAACAGACAGAGACAGGAGACTCTGCTCAGTATTTCTGTCTGACGTGGGATGACTCTGCTAAGGAGGATGTATCACAGTGATTCAGACTGTGACAAAAACCTCACCCCTGAGTACTTCCTCTTTTCAGCGTCTCTGACAGAACAGAACAAGTGACAGGACAATAAAATAATTGAATAACGTCACATACATTTTTTAGATTTCAATGATTTATCAGTGAAGGAACAAAATCCTCATCTGTCAGAAGATTTTGATTTTTAAAATAATGCTTTATTAACAGGTGTCAAAATGTGTAAAGCTCAAAACAATCAACAAATTAATTCAGCCACCTTGAACAACAGCCCTTCATGAGCCACTGTTGTTCAAATATGTCAATAAGACGAAGGAGACAAACAGGACACAACACAGCTTCATATTCAGTCCTCTATAATCATTCAGTCACAGTCAGTAAATGTCAGTGTTTCTACCAATGTGCTGATCAGTGGTTTACACACTGAAATGTTTGGTCTGGTTATAAACACACACATCACAGAACACGAATTTATAATAAACTTGTATCTTATATTAAATCAAATCATTAAATGAACTTACATTAATGACGGCGTCCACACGTACGACCTTTGACCTGTGTGTTTTTGTTGATCTGACTGACCTTTATAAACTCTACAGATAACAACAAGTGTTTAACACTAAAGACTGACGTTGATTTAATGACAAAATGTAAAAAAAGAAATAAAGTTTCATGTCAAAATACAGAGCAGAGTTGAAGCTCCCCCACCTCCTCCTCCTCCTCCTCCTCCTCATCCTCCTCCTCCT